TGAGGAGAGCCAGAGCGTGATGACATTGGAGGTGTTCTGTGCAATCCACATTGACTTGTCTTTCAGTGAGGAAGTCTAGCAGCCGGTTTCAGAGGGGGGTGCTGAAGCCCAGTGGTCCCATGTGTCTACCACATGCTGTAGAATGATGGTTTTAAAGATGGCACTTTGCCACTGTCTTCTGTGGAGTGGTTATGCCAGTAAGCAAACTGGAATGGGTCAAACATGGGAGGGAGTCTGGCAATTATGTTTTCTTTTGCCATCCTCCAGGGCTTAATTTATAAACCGATCGATGCTGGAACGCAGATAGAGGGCGGGCTGGCCGGGGGGGGGGGGGGGGGGGGGGGCCTTCTTTTTTATTAAAAAAATAGATGTTTTTTTGCATTTTGGTTTTTTTTAACAGGTTGTTAAAACATTTACGTTTTCCATCATTTGTAAACACCCCGCTTCTGTGAAGCTCCCCCCCCCCCTTGACGATTCTGTCAAGTAAGTCGGACTTGGTCCCGTGCTCCTGCCCCTGCCTGTGGGCTCCAGCCCGCCTGCCTGCTCAGCACTTCACTCTTTTAACGGCAGAGATTTCTTTAAGGGTTGATGCAGAAATGCTTCACTTGAAGAGGCAGATCATGGCTGTTGTGTTTAAAATTAGTGTTTATGTATTTATTTTCAGTTTATAAAAACATATCCAGTATAAGTTTTATTCGTTCAAGGCAGTCACCTTTGTTCATAACTTTATTATTGGTAAGTCTGAGAGTTACCTGATCCAAGCCAGATCCTAGCAAACAGTTACCGGAAGCAACCCTGTCAAAATAAGAGTTCCCGGATTTTGTTCTGGCAGGATCCGGCTCAAATTAAGCCGTGCCAGTCTCTCAAAGTTCTTTATTGTAATGGGAATGTGACTCGTCTCTAGTCGTTCAGTGATGCAGTTTAATGGTTGTTTGAAACAGGAATGACGGCGACTTCAAACATGATGAGTGTCTGTTAGACAACAAGCCAGCTGATGTGCACCTTCCCTGAGCCCCTGATTAGGTCTGTTGTCAAGACCTGGGGCCTTGTGTGGAACATTTCCTACAGTTACTGTCCCATCTTTGTGGTTGGACTCAAGCCACAAATCTTTTTTTTTCTGTTAGACAAAACAAACGAATCAATAAATGTTTTAAAACATTACAACAGGCCACTGCTAGTCTTAACTTTTACTCTCGCAGTTTTACACGGTTTGCTTTGACCCGAAGAGGGCAGGGCCATCTGAGGAGGACGTGATGTTGCTGCTTCACTGCATGCTCCTCCTGCATTCCTGTCTGTGCTAATCTGAATATCTTGTGTGTTTAGATATGTGGAGTGACTGCCATCTCAAAGCCTCACTGTTAGGGACTGTGTCCAGTGAGCCATCTCAGACGTCCTGGTAGCCAGTGAGGGTTTGGTTACTGGTAATAAACCAGTTGTTAACGCACGTCTTCGTACTGACTCTGTCAAACCCAAACATGACTCATCTTCTGCCTTCAGGTCATAATCAGTTTGAACAGTTTTACAGGTCTATTTCCTCTGACTCTTGCAGTTCTTTCTCCTTTAGCGGTGGTACGACGGTGACCCCACGCTCACCTTAGATAGTGAAGGCCTTCTTGTGTAGATGAACAGCAGCTTGGTATGTCGTTGAGTTTCTGCAGTAAAACCAGACCTTCAGCATTTTGTGCTGATGCAGACAAAGGCCACATTCGACCGGCCGTTTGGAATTTGACCTGTCTTTACTTCTTTGTGCTTATCTCTGTTTCTGTTTGAAGACAAGTGTCCGTCAGCTCGTCTCGGGCATGAAGGTCATAAACTTTAGGCTTTCAGAATTTATTTCAGCCATGGTTACATGGACCTCTGGTTTTAAGGATTTTAAACAAAATAAATTGTCCTCAACCTGCTTGTGACTGTGTGAATTCAGTGCTGTCTTTAACGCCTACAGTAAAAGTAATGTGTCGTAGCAGCAGTTCATCCTGGACCTTTCCTTCTCATTAACTTTGGCACAACTCTTATTTTTGACCCATTCAGGAAGCAGTTCAAACTTATCAAGCTTCCACTTTGAATTGTTGTTTTCTACAAGCAAAACATTCCCGTGGACACATTCATTCAACCTTTATTTATACAAGTTGGTCTCCGTGAGCCACGAGGACTCATTTACAAGAGAGACCGTGGAGGTTGTTCGTTCAGACATGTTTCAAATGTGCAAGAGCTAAATCAAGTTTTATATACGTACGACTGATTTCTACCAGGAGGCAGCAGGACAGAAGATTGAGTCCAGAAAAAGTCCATCTTAAAAGCTCTCTCAGCCTCGAGCACAAAATAAAAATAAAATCTTAATGTTTGTTGACTTCAGTGAGAAAAAGCAGAAGTCCAACTCGTCTTCTTGTGGCATTTATTATGATGAAATACATCCCTCGTCACTTTCTGGATTTGACTAAAACTAACATGAGAAAGTGCAGAATGTCTAAGAATGTGTGGCAGAAAGATCCTTTTATTGTCATTATTGTGCTTATCTCTTTGAAACTGTAAAGAATGAGAAGATCTTCAAAGGAAAAACAAATTGTGGCATGAGAGAGAAGTTTTAAAACTTAAGATGCAAAGCTCTCTTCTCTTGTCTTAACAGGCTTTCTAAAGTAGATGGAAGGCGACCTCTCCCTTTAAGTTTCATTCTGGTATTTGTGGAATCTGCTCTGGAACAAATAGGCCACTTCCTGTCCCGGTCCCCCTAACGATTTCATGTAAAGGAAGTGGAGTGAAGTTCTGACGATGAAATGAGCAGATCAGGATTTAAAAAAAAATGAAAAGAAGAAACATGTTACTGTAAATAACACAGTGAGAACTTTTTAACCTGCCAACATCAAAATGTGGGTGGGATAGGTGAACCACACCTGCCTCCACCCCCATTCGCTCCACTCTGAGCCCTTGAGCAAGGCTCTTAACCCCCACCAGCTGCTCCCCTGGGCGCCCTAGATGCAGCTCTCTGCTCCACACTGAAAGCTGTGGTAGCTCGGTGTCTGTGGTTGTGTCAGGATGAACATCTGGCGTAAAAATAATCACAGAGTCTTCATGTGACTTAGTTCATTGTGGTGACCACTGAAGATGGAGCAGCCGAAATAAGAAAAAAAAATTAATGAGGAGCACTGTGGCTTTTGTTCTTGTGAACATTGGAACAGATCTTTACCCTTTTGGAGTTTCTAATCAAATCATGAGAATTTAAATTTTCAGTCTTATGATCTTAGAGAATTATGTACAACTGTGTTTCTTCAGGTATTATATGGGGCATGCTGACATAGTATGTTACCTTTTCAATAACAGGCCCTGCCTACTCAAGTGTCTGGCTCCGCCTACTCTGACTGACGATTTATTAATTTTTTTCCTTTGGAGCCAATCAACACGCCAGCATAAGATAGTCACATGACCAATTTCAGGTGCTCTAGCGGGAAAGATATAGCCTTTCAGAGACTACATTTTAATTTATATAAAATGTACAGACTTTAAAATACACGTCAGTTTTTAAAATGTGTTGATAGATCAAGTAAAACCAGAGTTCAGATAAATAATCCACGCCACATCTTTTCCTGAAAATCATCGTCATGTCTGAAGCACGATAGAGCGAGAGGCTGCAGCAAAGACTATCAGTCTGAGGGACAAAACACCCCCATCACCCTCCACTTCCACCTCCCACCCCCCCTCAACAGATACCCCCCTTTCTGACGGAGATTCCAAGTTATTAGGCGCCTAAAAATCTAGAAGAAGAAG